GAATTCTCTTCTATTTGGGGTCTACGAGGGGTACCCGGGTACCCCTTTACACTGTTACACCCTATATTGTTTCCGGATGCTTCGCCTAATTGCGGGTAACGATACTATACCGGGTCTCATGATCTAGTATTGTTAGGCTGTCGGTGGGATCCGGTAGCTGGGAGCTACCGCCTATTGTTTGCGTATCGTTACGAGTAGTCTTATGGTTCTTTGCGAATACGACAAAACCGGGCCCTGAGGGTGACGCCTTCTGTATACATCTATACACAAGGGAGCTGTTGTGCTAGGTTGTGCTGTTTTGGTCGTTTATGACCTGCCGTGGTGTTGTCTGGGCGAGGAAGGCTGAAGCAAGGCAAAGTGACATGCAGCTTTGCCTTTCCGGATCGCCATTTTTGGCCAGAGGCATGTCATAGCACCTTGTAGTTGTTGTGTGAATTTGCCACGTTCTCTGCCACCGTGCCAACCACATACCTGTGCATTGATCTTCTACTAATGCACACATTCCAGATACCTTCCAGATATTTTTGAACTTAGCTGCAGTCCTTGCATCTCCCATCTGAAGCCAACGAATCTTTGTCTTGCCCATGACCATGGCCAAGACTGCCGACGAGTATGGGGTTTGCACGTGCCTTGGCGATGTTTAGATGAAGTTTAGAATCAGCCGCGCCTAAATGCTATCTGCGACTTTGGATAACCTCGATGTATCTTCCGTTTAAGGACGCCCTGACAGCAGTAGGAGGAGCAAGTGATGGGAAATTGAGTGTTCTAGACAAAGAAGGACGAACTTGAGCCTGACGGCGCCGCCAGAACACGCCAGCAGTTTTAAAATCTTGTAGCAGGCAGCAAGACAGTAACAGGCCAGTCGGCACACGACTCGCAGGTCAGTCGGTGGGCTGACAGCGGTAGAAGCAAAGTAGGCCGGCTAAATCCTAACTAAGTTTCAGTTCGAAAGCCAGAACAATAGAATTCGACCCCATAGGATTCGACCCCAGGTGCCTCACAAGCCCAAACTCGGCCAAAAGTCCCGACAAGCAGAACGCGCAAGGCTTCCCACGCAAGACTCGGGAAACCTGCCTCCTCCTGAAGCCACCTCAACTGGGTCCTTGTTGGCTAAAATTTTTAATGTTTGGCATAATTAATATACACACAATAAGGATTGAGAGTTAAAATGTTTAACATAACCCCAACAAGGAGACACCTCAAGCCTCAAACCTGCATTGTGGCCGCAAAGTCCTCGATCCACGTCGACCAGAGTTCCAGATCCACCTGACACGCAGGAGGCCTGGAAACTGACATTGCTTAAGATTGCTTGAGTAGCTTCACTGCCGGCATCAGCTTCTTTGCTGCCTTGGCGCATCTACCTTCGTGAAAATGATTGTGTTTTCTTGCGTCTTGGGAACAGGATGACCCATCTGCGGAAGTCTCGGGTGAACCGATGCTCCTCGGCTTGACCGCCAGACTATACTCAGCTCGTTCGAAGCATTCCGAAGCAAATCAGTCGAGGCACACATCATGCCCTGACAGCATGTCTGACAGCCCCCGCCAGTTGTTAAATCAAAGGCGTGCTATGCTCCCCCTTGCCTGCGGGCACATTAGTGTTTGGGCGGGACTTCGTGTTGTTGAACCCACGTTGAACAACACCCCCGCATCCACATTTTTCCAAGATGGTCGTGGCCCTTCGCCTCTCTCGCCACCTACGTCACAGCTGTGCTTCCCATTTGGCCCTCAGAAGCATTGGAGGCCAGGAACACTTCAGCGTTTTGGCACGAAAGTGTAGCCACGACCCGAGATGCAGTCACTGCAAAGGTGCCTGAGATACGATTACAGCGGTCTTGGGTTGAAGACCTGATGGTGGAACGAGCCCGGCGTGAAGAAGCAGAACGGCGTTGCGCGGAGCTACAGGCGGAGATTGATTCTTTGAGGCCAGTCTTGGGACACCTTGGAACGGTCTAGGTACTGCACATGCTGAAGAGGATGGGGTGCTCTTCTTTCAAAAGGCAGGCAAGTAACCATTGCTTGCCAACTGTCTTGAGGCAGCAGCTCGACATGCGTGAGACTCCGGGAAGCCCAAGCGTCACCACGCTGCTTGGCAGCAACGCTCTGGGCAAGACCTGCCATTGCTTGTCCTACAATCTACAAAGTGGACCAGGCCTGGCCTCAACGCCGAGTGTTCCGAGCAGGTGAGATGTACATGTGCGCTCTGTTTTGCCGTGGAGTCCTTGTCTTCTCAGATTTCACAAGACAGGGTCTGTGCTTGCACTATTGCTGCTGAAGAGTCATCTTCGTAACATCTATCAAGCTGGCATGTGATGGCATGTCCTTACGCTATGCATGCTGCACCCGTACAAGAGCGCGCAGTTGGTGGAAGAGCCAGCTGCTTTGCTATTCAAGGTCATTCTGTCCCGCAGCCATGCGTCATAACACTATTGGAGCTTGAGCTTGATAGATTTGGCCAGGAAGCTGCCGAGGCGCCGGAGTCTGCTGCAGAGGCCGGCTGCTTGCATGGGCATGAATCATGAAGCGTGAAAGGCCACACTTTTGTCAGTCTCTCCTGTTGCCATGACTGTACAAACCTGCACCTGAAACTTAAACCTAAACCCCCACAGCCATCGAGAGACCTTTCAATTTTGGCCGTGTAAATGCCCCCCGCCCCCTCCGACAACCTTGAATCCTGCAATGCGGGCCTCGTCCTTGCTAGGTAGGAGGGAAAAAACCTCGCCAGTGCTTGGAAAACAAACACCCTAAACCCAGAGAAGAAGAAGCAGAGACGCTTGATATCGATTGATCTGTTTTCTTTGGTCCTGCCAGGTGCCCCCGACGAGGCAACAGGAGCAGGTTGCGAGCCAGCCTCGACGCCTGCTTTTGGATTGAAAATCTCGGGATGCAGGCTGCGGAACTGCTGAGTGCCAGCACTACCTTGCCGACTGCAAGTTTGTGGGACTGGGCTGCTGAACTGCAGATGATGCAAGTGCTTGAGGAGCGATTGTGCTCCGCAGAAAAAACTTGTCAGGATGGGGTACTAAGCATGTTTGGTTGGCCCAGGCCTCAGTGCCAGTGTACCATTTTTTAGCAGCTCTCCCATGCTCGAGCTACGTTGGACGTGCGTCGTCTCAGGACTTACAGCGCTGACAGCGAGGTTTTGTCACAGGACCGACCCAAGTGTTCGATGCTCGCGCACCATTGCACTTCGCAGTGGCCTTGAGCCAATGTTTTTGTTTATGACTGTTTACGGTTCAGACTGCTCATCGTCAAGCCCATGCCATCCTTGCAGCAAGGGCTTTGCCAGGCTATGCGCATCACCTTGAAGCCCGAAAGTCGGCCGAGCAAAACCTAAAACTTGCTCGCAAGCAAGGCGTGCGCAGCACTTGGTGACTGCGCGCAAGGACCTGGCACGCCGCGGCACACGCCTGTTCCCTTCACTACAACGACCTGAAAGCGCATAATTTCTTCCACTGCGTTCCTATAGTGTCATCATGTGCTTTTACCAAGTTGCAGCGACGTGAATAGACGCTTGAGAAAGTTGACCCCTCCAACCGATTGGCAAGTCCAACTCCCATGCGCAGATTCGAGCGTGTTCTTCAAAACGAGCTAGCGGTTCGAGTTTTCTTTGCTTTCATGAATGCGCATGACTGCATGTGGGGGTTTACTGAAAACACGGGTACCCTTTTTGGGGGTTCCTATAAGGAATATGGTATTTCGGGGTACGTTAAGGGTACCCCTATTTTGGGAAGCCTCCATGTTGAAGTGCTGTCAGACCTCAGTCCCACCCATCCCCATCCTCCGTCTTCTAACTACACTGGCTACTCGCTACCTGTGTGCGCAAAAAAAATTCCGACCGCAAGAAACTCTAGTTATGCCCATACAATAAAGGCTTTACGGTTTTTACCGAGAACATCCATATAGACCGCACTTGTTGACCAGCACATCCATGGTGAGCGTGCAAGCCGACCAGATCCATGTCAACAGCGCCGATCTCCACGCCTACATCCTAAGGGTAAAAGTATGGGCTCTTAATATGGGCCCTTAGCCTCTGTGACAGGGATGATAGGGTCCCTTAAGGGTTTATGTGTAAGCATATATGTTTACAGGGTATATACTAGGTAGTTTGTGGAACACAGAGCCCACATGCCAAGGTTTTTTCGGCGGGGCCTGGAAAGGCCCTGCCTACTGAAGAGCTATTCGCCTCCATTGCCAGTTGCGGTGCGATGGTGCAGGAACCGACTGACTCCACCTCCAAGAGCCCACCGAGCCAAGATGTCTCAGAGGCCTGGCGCCGGGGGTTTCTGGCGTCTGAGAGCATGGAAGGAAGATACATCTGGCGCAAGATTCATTAGGGCCATTTAGGCCTTTTGTGCACGAAGCCATGAGTCCAAGCACTCGTTGTGGATCCGTCACTTTCCCAATGAGCAACAAGGTCTTACAGTCCCTGCCAGCACCGCCTTCCTCGCTGCTTGGGCAAGTCATTCTTCTTTCACGGTTGCACGTTCCCTTCGTGCTTCGGTGCCAGCTCCACACCAGCGGGGCGACTGAATACATGTATGAGATCTGAAACTTCTAGATCTTCTTGAACTCCTGCAGGTGAATTAGGGTCCGGTTTGCAAGCCGTAAACCCTAAACGTCTCAGATTGTGACCTGTGAAGGTAAAGTGGCTCTACGCGCTGCGACTTCCACCTTACAAACAAATACTTCTTTGTGGATGTTAGCGTACTTCATCATCATCAGCTCTCTGTGCAAGCAGCTTCTGCATCCTTCCTTCTCTTGCGCATATCCAGTTGACATGGAGAAGGAGAAGTGTTTTCTACACGTCACATGCCACTATGCGTTTTTCCTGACGGGTTATTAATCAGTTTCTGGCCCTCCAACACTCCCATGCAACAGCACCCTTTCTCTGTTGTTCACCCGTGTCAGGCCTGTGGATGAAGAGAGTTACAAACTGAAAGCTCGTCCTGTTCGGCCCTGTGCTTGCATCAGCAAGGCTTTCCACTCCGTTGCGTGCGGACATGTGGCTGGAGATCTTGAAGTTCCTGCCAGCGGATTCCTCAGGGATTCGTCAGAGCTGGGAGTCTGGGCCATGCTTTCTCCAAGCCGAGGCTGTAGAGATGTGCAAAACTCGGGCCGCATCACGCAGCTTCGTAGATGCCAAGGAGCCTCTGAGGTTCATTAGAGGTGACCCATGGGACCACTCAGAGACTCAGCGTTTTGCTCGTGAGGATTTGGCGGCGCACTTGCTGCATGTTGCGGACCTCACCAGGCTACACAAGCACCGTTTGCTGGCTACGTAGGCTTGCTTGCAATTGCATCTGAGGACGGACACCCTATTGGTGGATTGCGCCGCCACGCACCAGAAGTCACCCAACGGCTATCCTGGCGAGCATCATCTGCTCGAAGTTCAGCTGGATGAGACGATGCGAGCGCGCCGGGACTGCCACATGGACTGACAAATAACCTTGCCTAACGGTCTAACGCATCCCGAAGCCTGGCACGATGTCTTAGCTTGCTGAAGAGCCGTGAAGTCGGGCTCTCCAGGTGCTACAGTTCGGTTTCTCATAAGCGAATCCATTGCAGCACACGGACAAACCCTTTTCCTTCACCAGCGCCAAGAACCAAAACTTGGTTTGTCTTTGAAAGTGTGTAGTTGCTACTTGCTACGTACTACACTGCCTGATGTTACATGTTTGGGCCTTGGGCCTAAATGTGACAATGGAAAACAAAACGAATGCAAGCTCTACTGGCCTACAAGCACGCACATGCCTGACGTGGAGGGTGTGTTTCTTCACTTGCCTAGCTTTTGTCGCCTCAGCGTCTTGTGCTGCCAGCACCAGTTCAGGTTTGAAGTGTCTTCATCGCTTGAGCGACGTGTGGTTCGAGCACGCCCCGATGTCCATGCACATCATGATTCGGGATCTCGTGCGAATGGCAGAGTTTAATCCGGACGAAGAGTGGGGGCTGTTCACCTCATCCTATGCGTTTGTTCTTTTGCGTGAGATCGTTGTGCGAAAAGAAGGATTTCAAAATTGGCTGACTGCACAGCCAGTATCTGGATCACCAGCGATCTTGGCTACTAGGAAATGCCACCCACCGCGAACTTTGAGCTTGATCAAACCTGGAAAGGTCCGAAACTACAGATCGATGTAGCACTTGCTGGAAGCGAGCCTCTCGATCTTGGCACACATCGCTGCTGGACGCCAGAGCCGAGCTGAACTTGTCGTCCTGGACAAACCGCTCCACAACCAGGCTCCGCCCAGACGGTACCAGATCCTCGAGCTGCTCTTGCCCAAGTGAACCAGCTTGCCGGCCCTTGCAGGCTCTCAGGAGGGGAAAAAAGGAAAGCCTCCTCACCCTGGCGACAAGCGGATCAAAACGGCAAAGCGCAGCCTTGCTTTCAGCCATCTGTTGTATTGTCGAGACAACCTGGGTCTTCTGCAGTGCTGGCCTTAGCTGTAGTGTGAACGCTGTGACGTAGCTGCACGCCTGATGGTAAGCTGGGGCCTGAACAAAGCGTCAGTCAGTGCATGTCAATGCTTCTGGGTTGTGCCCTTAAGTCGGGGCCTGATATTGGTGAGGCCCCGATCCAAACAGTGCCGAGGCCCGCGAAGCTGTCTGGCTTCGATAAGTTGTCGGTGCAATATGTGCAATGTGCTGCGAGGGCCGACTTCGGCGTGACGATGTCTTGCGGGGGCTGCAACAGGCCCGGCCGCCCGGCTCACTTGCACAGGGCCTCTGATAGGTGCCATGCGGGCTCTTGCAACAATGGGTTTAACCTGTGGTTCTGGACTTGGCAGCGCAAGCAGGATCTGGCGTTTTGCCGTGTCCTGGCCTTACACCGATGGTAGGCCGAGTTTGCAGGTCTGTTTCAAAGCCGGGGATTGTTTTCGAAGCTGCTTCGCTTAGCTGCTTAGGCGCATGTTGGCGCTTCAGATTTTCATGGGAAATGGAATGGGTAGTCTCATCGCCCACATGGGAAGTACGGAACTTGATATATCCCCAAGTATGTCCTGAGGCAACAGGCCGAGGAGAAAAGGTCGTGGTCTGCTCCATGCCTGCCCACCTGTGCGGACCGGGAAACCTTTCTTTAGATGCCAGATATTGATATCATATCCGATGTGTCATCCGCGAAGGTTGGACACGCGTGACGTCGTCCTGAGACAGCAGACAGCAGACCAGCCTTCAAGTTGAGGTGGATCTTGAAGACGAGCGTGCCCAGAATCGACGGCTTCAGGAAGAAAACAGTCGACTTCGTTATGAGGCAGGGCAGTTCGGTACTTTGGGTTTATGTATGTCAGGTCTGAGTTCTTTTGGGTTTGACGCTTGGCAGTTGGAGCAGAAGAACAGATCATGGTGCCTCTTGCTGAGAATGACCTGCCTGTCTTTTGGGATGATGCGCGGCGCACTCTGTCTGCTTGCCAAGGTCTCCTCACATGGCTGTGGCCGTGGTCGGCAAGGCCCGCCTAAAATGTAAGGTGTGCAGCATAGGGGCTGCCGAGGACTCCCAAGCAAACTTTGCTGCCTGACCGACAACTTCAGCCCTGCCAACCGCGGGAAGCTTGTAATCAGGGCGGTGTGAACTCGAACTTCTGGTGAGCGCCGGGCTGAGTGGCAAGCTTGGTTAAAGCAAGGGTGTTGAGAAGCCCGGCCGAGGTCATTATGTTGCGATGCAGGCCCCGGAGTGCTTTCGCAGAGTTCCGGCTGGCAAACTTCCCATTGAAGTGCAGAACCTGCGTTGCAGGAGAAGGCACTGGACAGAATCATCGCTCCACTCTTTGAGAGATGCAACACCGTGCTTTCCCTGGGGAGTCGACACCACAAGGCGTCAGTGGCTGATCGTAGACTCAGCAGGCGCGGGGTCGGCTGCGCTTTATCGTGCCACGGAAGTGGACGCATTGATGAGGAAACTATGGCGTCACGGATTGTTGAGGCGAGTGCCCGCCTTGCTCATAAGGTGATGTTCGTCTTGTTCAAACGGAAATACGTCGAAATGTTGCGTCAGAAGGGCGAGCCGAGTGGACAGAAAGACGAGCTCGTTGTCGTGCGCAGCTTGCGAGACACAGCGCGGGAGAGGTTGATCTTCACGGACGATTTTGGCGCGGGAGCGCCGTGTGTGAACATCGGGGTCCAGGAGTTCTTCCGCACAAGTGATGAGTTCAACTCGGGCTTGGAGCATGCAAGAGCATTGTCGAACACAGTTCCGTCGGACATGGTTTGTGCCGAGCTCCCCTGTCTGCCTGAACCTGTCGACCTTGACATCGAGAGTGAAGCGTTGGGACTTGTGGCCTCAGGTTTTGACGTTGCCGCCAAGCCATGGGGAAGAGCTGAGCCAGGACCAGGCGGGTTTGCCCCCATGTTGTCCGGGCTTCTTGGTGCCGAGTCGAGGCTTACGAGCTTCGCTAGCCTTTGGAACCACACTCCCTATTCGGACCTAGTTATTGTTTCGTTGACGTCTCCACTCAAAGGACGCTGCTGTCGCCGTGAAGACGCGTGGTGTTGTAATCAGTGCAATCCTTGGATATCGGTCCTGAGATCACCACGCATAAAGGCGCGGCTTCAACTCCATACGATCGGAGTTTTGTCATATCAACGTGCAGCCAACTGCTCTGCCGCGTTCCAGTGCTGAGTTGGAGCTTCCCAAAGTCGCTGTGGAGAAGCAGCAAGCAGATGCAAGCAGGAACCCTCAACGAAGAGCTCAGTTTATCCGGCAGCATCGTGGCAAGTGCTAATGCGATGAATTCGACCTGCATGATGGGCGCTCGCTACTAGTAGCGCTTTCCATGATGCCTTTCGGTGTGGGAGTTCAAAGCTTTCGGGCAGAAGCCCCCACAAGGCGGTAGTAGTATCTTCGCTCGACGTGGACAGTACTCCGTTGTGAAGCTCCCATACCATGGCTTGATTCATGACCCAGTGAGTGCATCTCGTGGGCACAACAAGAGAGTGTGAGATACGTCTACGCAGGAGCCAAAAACTCACCGGCATTGTGTTGCATCGTCCGTGAGAGGAACAATTACATGGCTCTGGTTCCGACGAAGCTCCCCTGCAACACATACGGACATACTTATGCTGCGACTCTTATCCCAACAAGCTGATAAGTGCTCGCACCGGTGCTCGCACGGCCGCTAGCCTGCTTAACTACTCAGGCTTTTGGTCTGAATGGATGGTGCTGGGTACCTGCCCCAAGGCGCTCGTGCGCGCACGGCATCCTAGTCATAGGCGTATCAATAGAACGTCACACTGAGGGTCGGTAGACTGCTTTGGGATGCGACTTTCTCGGCTGGCTCGAGATGGCGGGTGGGGAAAGAAAACTTGCAGCATAAACCATACCAAAACCAATTTCCCAACCCCCATTTTTGGGCTCGCGTAGGTGGGTTGGGAAAGCAGTTTGGAAAGCAAGCGTGTGCTATAACCCAACCCCGGCCCAACCCCCTCGCCCCCCCCCCGCTCTCAGCTCACGACGATGGGTGGGGCAGACAAAATATCGTAAAAGCGCAGGGCTGTTGAAGAAACGGTCATGAAGCATCCTATATAGCGACGTGTTGAAGGCTCGCGAAGGAGCGTCGCAGACCAGAATTCGACGACCCTTCCACGTCGCCGAGAGGGAGCCTCTCGGGAAGAACAACAAGTACAACGAGAACAGCAAAAAACAATCAATGCCCCTTTGTGCTTGCTTGCTTGCGCAACCCTACACCCTAAACCCTAAGAACCCTGCATGAGGCTTTCTCAAGCCCCTTGCCCCAGACGGTCCCGTTGCTCTCCCATGTAATGCCCACCTTAAAAATTGCCAAGCCTTATAGCGACAACGCTGGAAGCCCTGAAGCCCTAAAACCGTCAGCCTCTAAACCTTGAAAGCTTTAGAACACACAAAAGCAACTCCTGTTACCAAGCCTTCAAAACACAGCCACAGGGACCCACAACTGGCCCTCAACAGCACGGGACGGGGAAGAGGGTATTCATCGGCCCACATCGGCACAAAAGGGATGTGAACTCTCATGCGGGGTGGTACCCCTTTTTGTCCTTTTTGAGGGAATTCTCTTCTATTTGGGGTCTAAGAGGGGTACCCGGGTACCCCTTTACACTGTTACACCCTATATTGTTTCCGGATGCTTCGCCTAATTGCGGGTAACGATACTATACCGGGTCTCATGATCTAGTATTGTTAGGCTGTCGGTGGGATCCGGTAGCTGGGAGCTACCGCCTATTGTTTGCGTATCGTTACGAGTAGTCTTATGGTTCTTTGCGAATACGACAAAACCGGGCCCTGAGGGTGGCGCTTTCTGTATACATTTATACACAAGGTCCACGCATTCTTCAGGTGTCTGCAAAGTAGGTGTTCTCACTATATAAGAAAGGGTGTTGGGGTATGCATATTTGCTTGGTCGTCTTCGTAAGTGTGGTGTTCGGTCACAGTTTTCTCTGGGTCGTCTTCGTAAGCATGGTGTTGGGTGCCAACTCTCTCCCAACCCAACCCTCTCCTCCCCTCCCAACCCACAACCTCCTCCCAACCCCCTCCCAACCCCACTCCCAACCCTCCCCCCAACCCACTCCCAACCTCCTCCCAACCCACTCCCAACCTCTCCCAACCTCCTCCCAACCTCCCAACCCACTCCCAACCTCTTCCCAACCCACTCCCAACCTCCTCCCAACCCACTCCCAACCTCCTCCCAACCCACTCCCGCAACCCTTTCCCGCACCCTCTTCCCAACAGCCTCTCCCAACCTTTTTGCCTGTACCCAACCCTCTACCCAACCCACCACTCCCAAACTCACTACCGTCCAGTCCAAGCCAAACACCCTCCAAGACACACCTCAAGCCAAATTCGCTCTGCCTTCTTCCGGATGCAGGTCCGAATTCTTTTTGGGCAAGTAGCGGGGTCGTCTTCGGGAGGGCGGTTCGGGTTTCCTTAAGAATCCGTGTCGGCTTCGGGAGGGGCCCAAGTGCCGGTTTAGGCAGTTATCTTCTTTAGTGCTCCCAACCCACTCCCCAGCTGCTCCCAACTACATAACTCCCAACCCACTCCCCAAGCTCTCCCCAGCTGCTCCCGAAGCAATCACATCGCGGAGGCATCCTCTTATTTACTGAGAACACCTCCGCCGTAGACACCAGGAACATCCCCTGACAAGGGAGCTGTTGTGCTAGGTTGTGCTGTT